TTTGTTTTCTTTCTCGCGCCCTGCACGCTTCGTCTTTCCTTAGCACGGCCCGTAACGTCTGTCCGATCGTCCGGTCGCCTCCGGTCCTCCGCGTCTCACCACGTCTCGGCCGCACGGGACTGGTTCCTCCATTTCGCCTGCCGCGGCTCTCTTTCATCCTCGATAATCGTTTCTGTCGAGAACGAGCGACCGTGTGAAGACACTGGCGTAACACCTCGCGGATATGTCAACGTTAACGAATGCCGTAGATATGCTACTCTAGCGTATCGAGAATGCCGTGAATACGCTACTTACTTATTGAGAGAATCATTCGTCTCTTTTTTATTTTGTGTATTGAAAGTATTACACGAAATATTTTGTAGTTTTTATGTTATCTTTTTTTTATAATCTGTGCTCTGAACAAAAAATAATATTGTATCAATAGCATTATTTTAATTAAAAATTTTATTAATTCAATAGCACTATTAATGATACAAATACATCATGCTCTTGTTTTAATACGATTTTATTTGTCTTATTAATACTGTTGTAAATAAGATTATTTTCAATTAAAATAATACTGTTGATACAACATCATTTTTTTCTGTGCGTATATTATTTAATGTTTTTCCGTTGTGATTTAACTCTTTGATAATGATTTTCTATTTTAAAACTTATATGAAAATGTATTTTCCAACTCAAAAAGGATGATTTTTCAAAAGTTATGAATACGAAAAAGTAACAAAAATAATATTTAATTATGTTAAGAATATATTCTTTTTGATGATAATATTTGATTAATCAATAACTTTTTATCAAATTAAAAAACAGTATTTCTAATTTTATAAGAATTTTACAATTTTTTTACACATCACATCAGTTTTAAAGTAAGAGAGCGATATTTTTTGAGATTTATTAAGTAGTAGGTGAACACAGAACAAGTTAGCAGATGTATACTAGGAATATACGCGATACTCCTCAAATAGGCTCGTCATTGTTAGAGCGCATGCAACTACCAAAAAGTACACTTGCAACAGTCGAAACGATCGTAAGGAAAACGCCGCCAGTGGTAGTCTCGATCTCTCGGCGAGCCGTCTTCCGTGTCCAAGTTCAGATTCCGTGTTCAGCACGAGAACGACGGGGCATTATCGTATTTCACGATAGTCGTTTAAAGCCGACCGCGGCGTCATGTGTGGTCCAGGTCAGCGTCGTTCGCATTCCATGAGCGTCGCGGCGCGTCTCGTTCCACCGCCGTCGCTGCCGCCATCGCCGCCGCATCGTCGAGCAGGCTCAGTTTCGTCGTCCCCTCCGTGCCGTAACGGCGGCTGGAATTTCGGACCTCGACGTAGGTAAGATCTATGATCCTCAGAGGCGACAACGGACAACTATCTGGCATCGTTTCCGATGCTTATCCCAGTCCCGTTTAATCGATCTCTCTTCTTCTTGCCGCGAGAAGCAACACGATGTCCATGGATCCTCTTGAGGGATGACATGCTTTTTTTCAGAGGGAGAACGCACAGTTTGAGTTCGATTCGGGCGAAATTCTTCGCTTTAATTCTTGAAGAACAATTTGTGACAAATAATTGCGAAGAATAATCTTATGGTGCGATCTGATACTTATTTCTGTTTCAAGAACAAAAATGTTAAAAAAATATGCTGTAAAAAGATTGCCTTTCTATTTTACGTAAATAATTTCTTTTGTGTTTTTTTATTTAAATTAATTATTTCATGCGTGTAACATTTATTTGGAATTTCAAATATTATATACTTTTTATTATATTTTCCTATTAAGGAAATATTTCCTATTAAGGAAAAATACCTTGGATGCTTTTCGGATAGATAATTTTAACATACACAAAATGTATATGACGGCAATCTTTAATTAGAATTATAGGAGACAGCGCAACGATCCGCCAAATCTAGCGCGACTTGATATAATTAAGTGTTTCGTGCAAGTATCGGGTGTCCTTCGATCATTATCCGTGTTGTTCGACCATTGCGAAACGCTTCGCCTAGATTGTCGTTTTTGATGAAGTTTTTGACGAAGACAGCACGCTTCGTCTGCCGATGCAGACGAAAACCGACGGTGTCGGTGACTCTAACGGGTGGTCCCAGGAACCCTCGATGGCTACGACGACGACGACGACGACGACGACAACGACGACGACGACAAGGCGACGGCGACGACGACGACGACGAGAGCAACGCGGCTGTTGATGATGATGATGAGGTGCGAAGAGACGCCCCGGCAATTACCTCGGGCCAGTTTCTCTTCCATGACGTCCTCTCTTTTGTGCCTCTCGCTTTCTGTGTCCTCTCGTCTCGTCATTATCGTTCTTTACGGTTTCCTCATCGCCTCCGAACTTCTTCCGTCCGTCCGTGTGTCGCTGTTTCTTTTCTCTCTTTACTTCGACTCTTCCTGAAGAGTCGAATATCGTCGACCAATCGTCATCTCGATCATCGAGGTTTCTTCAAGATGATAGCCAGCACGTTCTTTCATGCCAATTCGTGCTAAGCGGTCTGTAGAGAGAAGTTTCATGCAACTTGTTATAACTGTTGGCAGATTTGCCGGAGGATTTCACATTCATATAAAATTTTTCTTTCGTGTTAGCTTTCTCTAATTCCTTATACTTCAATTGGTGTTCTCTTCGATTCTTCACTGATTACTAATTAACACTAATTGATATTTGCTTCGAAATTTCTTTAACTGATCATATTCGCAGTCCATTTTAATGTGGACTTTAAATTAAAATATTTTTACTTAAAATATTAATATAATTGAATGATTTTTATAGAATAAAATTATGTAACTTAAAATTAAGTAAACTTGTGAAAAACATTTGTTATAAACAATATTTCTCAACATGTAATGAAGAAGATTTCTGGGTCTACTGGGCCCACAAATACCAATTAGGGTTAGTAATCTGTATTAGAAAAAAATTGTAGAGAAAAGATAGGAGAATACGGACAAATTAGCGAGAAGTCCTTGAATTTTCCTGACATCCTTTCAGGATGAGCGTTCGCGATGGCGGCGCGTGCGAAAGTGCTGTCGCCATGGCTTTTCAACGAGTTCGAAAATAGACGGGGTAGAATGTCAAAGCGGGGTAGAGGGAGAGCAAAGGAAGCAGCGGGCGATCATCGCGAACGTCGACGGTGGGCGCCGCGGTCAAACAAGAGCAAGGAGATGAAGAAGGACAGAGGTGCATCATGGAATGCGCGTTAGTGACGTAGAAATGCAGTCGAGCGCGCGACGGCGGATGTTGCATGGTAGATGGATAGGTAGATACGACTTGTTTAGAATGTGAGACAAGCCCCCCGAGATTCGGTGAAAAAGGAGGCTACAGTTGTTGACAAGATCGGAATCGGCGATATATTAAAAAGACCGCACCGGAGAGATAGTTGATGAGCTTGCAGGAATATACGAGCAGGGATATACTGAAATAGTTGTGGGCAATAAGATAAGGCAAGAATATTAATAACATTAATGGTATGCAAGTGGAAAGAATGAATGGTGCCAGCAATTCCAACGCCAACAAAATGGCCAATTTTTTTTTCCCCATTTCATTTACATTTGATTAACTCTCTGCGGTTGACGTCAAAATCTATAACACAGATTCTGACACTGCATCTGTAAAACCTACTTAATATATATATTGATTGAAAGGCACAATTAATTTTGGTTACCATAACCAGAAATTCTGTTTGGCCTCACAATACCATTCTGGTTGGGTCTTTTTGTTGATTTAACCAGAACATTTTTCTCAGTGTACAAAAAGGTTGAGGGGTTCTCATGCAAAACTCAAGTTGCCATGCTCAACACCGACAAGTCGCGGTTGGTTGCCGATGGCAAACGACCTCAGCACTTTGATACGGACTCCCCATCAGCGCTGGTACACATCCATATGTACAACCTACTGATTTTTGGTACTGAATTCCCCCCGTTCAGTATATACCGGCTCGAAAGCCATTCGTCGCGGTTAGCACGTTCCTCGTCACTCGTCGTCGTCATCGTCACAGTCATCGTTGGGGGTGCGCTCGTTTAGCGGGGACTGCCTTTTTTTCTCCCCGCAATACCGTGTATCGTTGCGGACGGCACTTTTTTTTGCCTTTTACTTCCCCGGCAGGCCTTCGCGCTTCCCTTCTCGAGCCTCGTAACGACCTACGCGACCGACTCGATTCGTCTTTCTCGCTCGCACCACGTCATAATTCATATCCTAACTGCCACCTCTCTTCCTTCCCTCCGGCCACCCGCTCGCCGGGGAGTTCCTCCATCCGTTCTGCCGGCTCCTTATCGCCCCCTGATGTCGCCTCCTCTCTCATAGTAGTCGTGCTCTTCGTCGTTTGCCCTCTCTCTCCTCTCTTCATTCTCCTTCCCGTCGTTGTGGACATCCATTATGCGAGCTAACGCTTCCATGGTCGGACTCCGTCGAAGACTTTGTCACTCCTTCTTCTACGATTTTTCTGAAACACAAATGAGTTATGAAATCTCGCTGATGATAATTTTTTAAATAAATTTAATTTTAATGTATCTTTAATTGCAAATGCTATATTATACGCTAAGTTAATTAAAAATTGAATCTTGTAAAGAAGAATATTACTAAGTTTAAATTTTCCAATTTAGTTTGCTTACATTTAGAGAAAAAGTGACTGCTATTATTATAATTTAACTATTATATAATTTACAGACATTTTTGGTATCAATATTTTTTGGTAGAATTATAAATATAATTATTGTATAATTATTATACTATATAACTATGTAGTGATAATAACTATAAAAATAGTTTTTACACTGTTGAATTTATAATGTCAAATTAAATTTGATTTAAGTTATTTTTAATCATTTCTGCATTACTCCCATAATTCAATATGGAGTAAAACAGTTTAATAGATGTATTAAATTTGACTCAAATTAAATTTATTATTTACCAAGTACATACGTCAATATGGACGTTGTT